CCAGAAACGATATGACAATCGTATGATTCACAGTAACGCCACTAACCATATGCGCTTAGTAGTTAGTACACTCGAGGGCAGATTGATGTTCCACAACTCTTTATCCACCAGGTTCCTATGGCTCAGCATTGGCAGCAGCCGCCTGGTACCGGTAGACTGTGCCGCTTCACTTACTTGTCAAGCGGCACAGCCTACCCACCCGTATGACACCGGTCTGGGTCGGTGGCTGGAAGGTGATGTGGGCCGCCTGTGACGTCAGCGCAGCGGTGAGGGCCGAGCCCGGTGGCATGGCTCGGGTCGGCGCGGCGCGGCGGCTGGCGAGGGCTGGGGAGTGAGGTTGGGTGGGAGCACGGACATCGCGCGGCTAAGCGAGTGTAGTTAACTTTCGTGTCTCACTCTCAAGGCGCCAATTATTCTACCTAACAATTGTGCTAAAGCAGTTGTTAAAATGTGCTATCCCCAAGACAGCGCCTATCATCATACTTGTCATGCACATTACGACACACTTAAGCGTGGCAATGGGACAGCCGATAGAACTTATGTCACTCGTGCATCGAGGTGCGGAGCTATATTTTGTATAACATATTAGTATTAAGGCCTTGATTGAGCAGATTGGTGTCTATTGTTTCGCACGGTAATCGTCCAGAGACGTGGGAACTGGGGGTTATGAGCAGTGCTGCAGCCAACGCCCAATTTAAAGCGATTATTACTGTTGCTCTAATACCTAATATAATAATAATAATAATAATGTATGTGGTCGCAGCCCCCAATAGCAAACCGTTCCAACTAGGAGCCAAAAAGTCGGCCACTCAGAAGGGTTCGAACCGGGCTTCTCCCACCGGCCAATTCACGACTCGAGCGTTCATCCACTGAGCTACGGAGAATGGTTCTCATCTGCACAAAACAAAATGACTTTCACCCGCTGACCGCCAATGACAGCATTGTGACATTTGATCGCGTTTGACCGCGGCGGGTGGTCGCTGGTTTCGGCAGCTCAGTGGATACACGCTAGCGTCGTAGGGTGACCGGTTGGAGAAACCCGGTTCGAACCGTCCCAGGTGCGCGACTTTTTCGTTCCTAGATGGAACGGTTTGCTATTGGTGGCTGCGACCACACATTAGAGGAATAGTAAAAGTTGCTTAAAGGGACCCTCCCACCTTCAAAAAAGTTAATGAATTGGCATGAAAGTGATGTCGCTCGGTTCAGAAAGAGCAAAAACGAATATCTACCAAATTTCATCGAAAAATATTCACCGGTTTTCAAGATATTTGACTTTTACTTTTGTTTACTTTTTGGGATCTCCGCTGTTCCTAGCGACTTTATTTGAAAGTGCGGCATTTGTTGCGCGCAAAGCAGGATATACCACCGCGTGCTACAAAACGTTTTAGTCAAACATTTAACGGACGTTCGAAAGCCTGATGACGTCATCAGATTCCCGTAATGGTTAAGAGATAGGGACCACGCTGGTCCCACCCTGCAAGTAAAGGGAAGAAATTTCTTGAACACCATAAAGCTGCGGGGGTTGCGACCAGGATAAATGGTGGTTTCTGAGCCTGGCCGCAAACTTGGCTATCTCAACTCAAAACTAATGTTAAGGTGGGAGGGTCCCTTTAAAGTTGGGACGCCGCGCTATCCAAAAACCCCAGTTCCCACCTCTCTGGACGATTGCTTTGCGAAATAATAGACACCAATGAGCTCAATCAAGGCCTTAATACTTATCTGTTAAAAACAATGTAGCTCCGCAACTCGATGCACGTGTGATATAAATTCTATCGGCTGTCCCAATGCCACGTTTAAGTGTGTCGTAATGTGCATGACAAGTATGATGATAGGCGCTGTCTTGGGGATAGGACATTTTAACAACTGCTTTAGCACAATTGTTAGGTAGAATAATTGGCCCCTTGAGACGCGAAAGTTACCTAACTACACTCGCTCAGCCGCGTGATGGTCCGTGCTCCCACCCCACCTCACTCCCCAGCCCTCCCCAGCCGCCGCGCCGCGCCGACCCGAGCCATGCCTCCGGGCTCGGCCCTCACCGCTGCGCTGACGTCACAGGCGGCCCACATCGCCTTCCAGCCACCGACCCAGACCGGTGGCATACGGTGTGGGTAGGCTGTGCCGCTTGACAAGTAAGTGAAGCGGCACAGTCTACCGGTACCAGGCGGCTGCTGCCAATGCTGAGCCATAGGAACCCGGTGGATAAAGAGTTGTGGAACATCAATCTGCCCCCGAGTGTACCATCTACATCACACGGTGTTTATTTCAACATTTTCTGCATATTCTTGAGTAATGTTCGCTAATGTTAGCCCACCCGGGGCGCGACGGTCTCAGTCCCCGCCGGACCGGTCTCCCGAAGGTGTCGTCTCGGTCGTGCGTCCTCTATAAACACGTCAGGGTGTCGTCCGCCCACTGAGATGCCCCAGCTGGACGGTGATTTGCTGTAACCGATATCGGTCGCACACAGCCGGTCGAAAACACGCCGTCGGAAGCTGCCACTGGGCCTGAGCCGGGCGTTGTCGCTCGGGCTCATTCGGTTATCTCCACAGGAGGCCAGGGACTTTGGTTTGAGCCAATAAATTTGAAGTCAAACTGAAACTTATTAACCTGAATTAATTCAATGATTAAAGTTGTCGCTATCAATGATAGACGAATGTGATTTCGATTAGGGCTGATCAAATAATGCATGCTGCATACATTTTTTTCTGCAGCAGCCGATGAAATAACCGATAAAGCTAGATGTATAAAATCTCCATTGCTAAGCGATTCAATTCTGTCCACTTTGTTTTCGTATGAGCGGCTGCAGGCGCACCGCATGCGAAGCAATCGCATGCTTGTCGAGCTTCTGTTATTGCCAGCAGCGTATCGATTTGGGCGTGATTCGTCAGTTGCGGTTTGACGTGCGCACGCCAGAAAGCCAAATCTTGGAATCGTGCTTGTTGTTGATCGTCCAACAGGAGTTTCTGCCAATTCCGACTTGTTGTACGCCCCTTTTGTTTAATCAAATGTCACAGCTCGGTGGAAGAGTGCTACTTTTTCTGACAGCGCCTTCGGCCGAATTCGCTGTCTTCTTAAGAATTCTGACTGGAAAATTATGGCGTGTCGCCGTGGCAAATGGGCAGCCTGCCACAGCCATGCCCTCTGCCATATTTCCTCGCTAAATCCGCCGAACGACTTACCGAGCTGTGCGCCACTCCGAGACGATTATCTTACAAGAAAACGGCTGGAAATAAGGATGCGATGCAAAGAGATAATCAAAATAATACACAATATTTGTTTCTCATTCTTCTCCAACCATGAAGTCCCTTCCTTCCCAGTCCAGTCGCGTCCACAGGCCTCCAACTCTCACATTCATCACACCTACCCTGAAAACACTTTATATCGCTATTAAACTTTTCCGGGCCTCCCAGAATCCTGCTGGCCGGAGCACCTCCGTGCTGACTCCGCGATCCTGGCGCGCGCCGCTCGGACCGGCTCATTTCTATTCTCCGTGGCCACCCGCTCATTTCCTGGACTAACAAGCGAGGAGCGGAGCGGGCCGAGTCGGAGGCAACAGCCCCGACCGGCGACGGCGACGTCTTGTTGACGGTGGTGGCAGGTCGATACGCGTCTCCGCGTCTGGCCTGCAGGGTGCCCGATTGATTGACGTCGTGCCATCAGCTGTCGCCCACTGAAGGCGGTGCGCGAGGTGTCATTGTGCGTAACGGCGGGGTGTGAACTAAACGATTCCTGCTATCACAATGCGATGCTATGAAATGTAATTGCAATTTATTAGCTATGGGTGACCCTAGTCTTCAAAGCGGAATAACTTTGTATTTTTTTACAGTGCAAGAAGAGTCTCGTGTGCTAAAACAATTGGCACATACTCCACCTTCATGAGCATAATATTATCAATCGTCATGGCTTGCATGAAGGCAACGTCGAGGCCCAAGGTGTTGTCCCCTAGCCGTCTCGCTGCAGAGGTGTTGTAAATGGGCGGCTTCGGCTCGTATGTCCGGCTTCCTTGGTTTTATCCGACCGAAACCCTGCCCGCCCCTGAAATCTCCACCCTGGCGTTTCGCAACAGTGCTCCTTGCTCAATGCACCGCACTACCTGGCGGTAACGGAGCCGTGCGGGGCGGGCGGCCGTGGGGCTTCACACCGGCGGGACGGAACGCCCGGTCGCCTGCTTCGCTCCCCTGGCACGTGCTGTCGATATTAGTCTAAGACGAATACAATGGGACTGGCTGAGGTGACATGTCAGCGTACGGCCCCAAATCCTGCCATCTGGTCAGCATTAGCCTGTAGCGGTGGTCAGAGATGGTTATGCACCGTTGGTCGGATGCGTCCTGTCCCGGCGGTGCTCAGCTGCCCAGAGACGCAGCTGCGGTCCGCGGACCATCCTTCACTGTCGCCAGGGGACCGGTCCCGGTCCGGACCAACCAACCGCTCAGCTGGACCCAGGCGACCGGTCCGTTCGTCCGCGGCCCGGAATCCAGGATAGAGGCGAGATCGATCGGCCGTCGCCAGATTCGGCTGTTGGAAGTGGTTCGAACAGGGAACTTAGCGCCGTCGAGCTATCAGATGTTATCTGACATGCTGTCGTATGAGGGCTCCGCGGACGGGGCCGGACGGCCGGACGCAGGCGGGGTGCCGTGGTGGTGTAGATTACCAATGGACAGCGAGTTTTGGGAAGGTCATGTAGCTGTCGGCTTCAGTAACGCTAATGATATCACGTTCTAACTCACCAGGAAGTCACGTTTTGCTGACTAAAAAAACATAACTTTTGGGTTTTCGGTGCCAAAAGAAATATTATGTTTTTGGTATTACGCATGATTGGTTTTGCTTGATAAAATAGTCCTAATTTGCGAAATGCAGCATGACAGGTAAATGAATTTGGGTAAATCTGAGCCGCCACATACTCGACAATTGTCTTGACCTCATGCGATTTTAATTTCATCGTATGTGACGCAACATGATACATAGTATTACCACCTAACCTGATCATTGTTGTTTATTTGCAGAACCTGCCATCGGCAACTTTTCCGACGAGACTGGACCAGTGCTGCTGAACAATGGAGCTGCAGGTCACAGTGCAGGAGCGGGCAGCGGCATAGGTCAGTCACAACTCACAATCACGGCCTTCACAACGGTCACGAGTCACAGCCGATCATACCACACGTGCAGTCACAGTCTGTCACAGCTCTCTGCTCGACTCTCACTCACATTCAGTCACAGTCACAGTTTTTGGTAGACATTTGTCTCAGACCAGTGTCACTGTCACCGTCACGATTCGTTTTTGGACACGAGTCACGGTCGATCACGAAAAGTCACGGTGCAGTCGTACGTCCGACCACGGACGTTTGAACGAACGTCACGGTGTCTGACGCGATCTGATATGCTATCACAGCACCTCGTAGCGTTACTGCCAGTGTTCTACCGTCACGAACTGGGATAAGGCGAAGTGCCGGGATATTCCACGGCGCTTCTGAAGTCAGAATCACTGGATAGTGGATATTATTCCTTCAGGATTAGCCATTAGATGAATCTTTCCTGAGGTGGATTTCGTCTGAATTGAAAAGGAATCGTCGGTTTACTGCCTTTTCTTTCAAGCTATTTCATTTTCGGGACGTTTTACTGGTTGTCAAAGCGTAGCAACAATAGCTGTGAAATTCCACACGAATTTCTACGTGGGTGACATACCCGTCATTCTCATGGAATGGCCTTGGAGCCGCCAATATATGCCGGGACGGTCGGAGACGAGATCTTGGCGTGCAGGAACAGTCCAATCCTCACTCGACCCGGCCAGGCCCCAGCCGACAGCCCGAGCTGCCTGACTGGACCCAATCCGACCCCAGACGAGACTCCAGCCTAGTTCGTCGAGGCCTTTTCCGACCCGACCCGACCCGACCCGACCCGACCTGACCTGACCTAACCCGACCAGACCAGACAACAGCGTATAACCACAGCAGACTGGACTGAACCAGAACAGACCAGACCAAACCCATGACTTGACCTTAGGGTGAATCATATAACGGCATTGCAAGCTTTCAGTTCTCAGTAGACAAGCCGTGAAGACCGAAACGTCCTCGAGAACGGACATTGTTGCGTCAGGTGGCATAGAAATTTCATGACCATTCATTAGCGTATACACGATTTTAATGTAAGCACGCATTGGATACCTGTTGTCAACTAATAGTAGATTGCACTGAGTTCCTTGAGGGAACTTACAAACCCTTGCTAGGAATATTGTGAAATCCACAGCCCCAAATTGTCTTATTGTAATTGATGACGTAATTTCACACCGATCGCGATTGCTAATGTGGTTATGTTGAAGTTTCCCGGAACATATATCAACGATTAGGCATATGAGCGATAATAACGTGATATTGGTTTTGACCTGACGTTGATTCATTGGAACTTTTATCATCTGGAAATCTGGAAATCTGATTTGACCGGCCACAATGATTTATTGACCCAGCCATAACAATAGTGATCAGGCATAACCGACTGTGACTACTTAGCCGTAGCTGTCTCCTTCAAGTCGATACCACTCTGCTATTCTGATTGACCGAACATCAACGCCCTCGTATCAGCGCGACGGGCCTTGTCCGGTGAGGCTGCACCCATGTCCCCGGACCGCCTGTCAATCCGTCAGCCCGTGTGTGTGTCGGGCCGCCCTGCCTGTCCGATGTCGGCCCGTCACCCTGTCAGTGGCGGGGTCGGCAACACTGAGTGGTGGGTCAGCTACGGCCCGATCAGACGGCCGTCAAAGGGACGGACATGTCCAGACCGTCCACCGACCCCCGAGAGAGGCCCGCCCACCCTCTCATGGGCCTATCGTATCGTGAGGGCCGGTCAGGAGGACAGGGTAGCGGGACAGGTCACTGCGGATCAGTGTCGGATAGAGAGATGAGGACCAGAAGTAGATGCAGACCAAAGTTGGTTACGAAGAAGTGGTTTACGAAAACAGGCGAAGTGGTAATGTATTACCCTTTGCGCAAGATATATAATAGTAATCTTCCGAAGGTCATCCGAAGCTCCTCCGAAGCTACTTTATCTTATCGCAATGATTATCAAACACATGCCATTTACTTTGGAGCGAATTCATACACCAAAAACTCGGTGGAACAACACCTGCAGACAAGCATGTGCCCCCCTTTCTCTCTCTCTCTCTCTCTCTCTCTCTCTCTCTCTCTCTCTCTCTCTCTCTCTCTCTCTCTCTCTCTCTCTCTCTCTCTCTCTCTCTCTCTCTCTCTCTCTCTCTCTCTCTCTCTCTCTCTCTCTCTCTCTCTCTCTCTCTCTCTCTCTCTCTCTCTCTCTCTCTCTCTCTCTCTCTCTCTCTCTCTCTCTCTCCTCTCTCTCTCTCTCTCTCTCTCTCTCTCTCTCTCTCTCTCTCTTCTCTTTTCTCTCCTCTCTCCTCTCTCCTCTCTCCTGTCTCCACTCGATATGCGGCACCTAACTTCGTTTGCCGGGCAGCGCGGGCTCGTCGCCACTGCGCTAGCATTGTGTCCAGCGCGTCACATTTGTCGAGACGGCGGCTCACCATCGCTCAGGGGCGGAGAAGAAGGGTGGTCTGTCTGCGCCGCTGACCTGGGTGGCCAGCTATAGGTTACTGCTGAATCTGGGTGCTGATTTGGAGGGACGAAGCGGAACAGCGATGGTGGCGCAACTGGCATTGTCGAGGAGTTTTGACTCGCATATAGGTATATAAACGGAAATGGCATCATATCATTGAATATGTAATAAGCGTCAATCTTTTCCGTGGCCTGCCCACAGGCTGCTTATGGACTACACCGGCAAGTTGTTTGAGCTACATATGAATATTGGGTACTCGTGGTACGCAGTTCTACATTTCAAATAACTTACTGAATTTGAAATTTTGATATATAAACGGAAGAAAAATTGAAATACTGAGTAAATAAACAATAAAGAAACATGATCTCACCAAAATCATATCGTGCTGGAAGAGACGAGATACCGCTGAAGACCAAACTATTTATCTATAATCTACTATAAGCCACACTGGCGAGGAATTGAGAAGAAGGTGGCGTACCCACTACAACCGCTTCGTTCCGGAAGTGCAGCTGGCAAAGAGAGCTTTTCTGTTGATTGTTGGACTTCTCCAGGGAAATTCACGAATGGCTCCCGCATGGCTTGCCACTCTTTTAACTTTTGAAGGAATGCCCAGAGCGGTTCGTGGTTGGACCTCAATCCAACAAGATAATGATGTTCTGCTTCTGAATAAACCACTTAGAGAATAAATCAACTTGCAAAATAAAGTCGGGGAAGATTGTCAAATGTCTAGATAATATTTTTGCTAGTTTTGTCATTTTTGTCATTAATACGCATTAATTTGGAATAATTTTAGAACTTGGAATATTTCTTCCATTCCATGAAACTATTAATGGATTAATTCTGCATACCATATGTGTCCCATCTGGACCACCAGTCATCCCAGGACGAATAGTTTCGTTTCCCCGGTCTGACCAAGGTCTCTCGCTCTCGGGGCCGGAGTTGACGTTTTCCAAATGGGCTCAGTCTCCGCTGGAAACGAGCCCAATCGGTCTGCCAGTGAGGCACCACACGGCTGCCTCTGTAGCAGGAATAGAGGGTGTGAAGAGAGAGAGAGGAGGAGAGAGAGAGAGAGAGAGAGGAGAGAGAGAGAGAGAGGGAGAGGAGAGGAGAGAGAGAGAGGAGAGAGAGAGAGAGAGAGAGAGAGAGACACGTGACAGTCCAACACTTTTGGCAATGACGTAACTGCCCAAATCATCATCAGCATTATCATTCAGAGTTGGCCGAAGGCACAGTCAATGCCGGCGTCAGTTCATTCCCAGATTGAACGCCATTTGGTGTAAGGATGTCGGCTCGGCGCAGAGGTTTCCCAGCCCCTTGGAAATGGTCAGGGTGACAAACGGCGCGGGGCGCTGGTTGTGACTGCCTGTGCACACGTGGGCTGCACGGCGGGCGGTGTGCACGGTG